AATTATTTATTACTTCATTTAAAATTAATAATAAATTCATTACATATCAGCTGGTACATTTTTATGAAAAATAGCCATGTCTTGTAAAACAAATGAAAATGATGAGAAGAATTGCACATTGATGTACGTAAATCTCTGTGATGTGGCTTAATGAGAGGCGGCAGGTTCTCATCTCTTCCTCCCGCGATCTGATGTGCTATCCGAGGTGTCACAGAGCCTCTGGGAAACGCTACCTGTAATCCTCACATCACATCTCTGCTCGCATCACTGCTCTGGGATTCCTCTGCTGTCTTGGCCCTTCCTCCCCACTGGTAGTTCTCCAAAGCCCTGGGGTTGCAGAGCAGAGTCCCCTTTTATTTCCAGGGGTAGGCGTGCGTCCTCAGGGCTGAGGCTGGTGCAGCCTCATGGTGTCTGGGGTGGGAGACGGTGGGAGACGATGGGAATGGAGGGTCAGGCCCTGGCCTCCTGGATCCCTTCAGTTCTCTGGGTCTTCCCTTCTCCATCTGTGAGTTTGATAGAAACTATTTAAAACCACGTCAAGCTTTAATCATCCTTGACTGTGAGTAGGGGTTAGAACAGGGGTGGGCAAACTTTTTGACTCGAGGGCCACAATGGGTTCTCAAACTGGACCGGAGGGCCGGAACAAAAGCATGGATGGAGTGTTTGTGTGAACTAATATAAATTCAAAGTAAACATCATTACATAAAAGGGTACGGTCTTTTTTTTTTTTTATTTTTATTCATTTCAAACAGGCCGGATCCGCGGGCCGTAGTTTGCCCACGGCTGGGTTAGAATGCCAATTTCTCTTTCAAAATGTGATCTAAGAATACTGGGGGTTTTTAATTCTCGAGTCGTTTATGATTTGGTTTTTTGCCTTCTGAATAAAAGGGACTTTGAGTGTGAAGAATATGTACTTAGGAATGTAAACTTGATGTGCAACTGAATTTCTCATTATTTGGGTTAATAGTAGAAAATGCAAAGAAAATACTGTTAAAGAAACACAGCATTTTAAGTGCTCTGACATGGTTGTGTTTGCTGGTAGAGGTTTTTAATGTAGATAAAAACAATTGGTTTTTCTATTTCTCCTCATCCTCTCATGTAAGCAGATGGGTCTTGGGCAGGGGTGGGCAAACTTTTTGACTCGAGGGCCACAATAAGTTCTTAAACTGGACCGGAGGGCCGGAACAAAAGCATGGATGGAGTGTTTGTGTGAACTAATAAAAATTCAAAGTAAACATCATTACATAAAAGGGTACGGTCTTTTTTTTCAATAGTTTTATTCATTTCAAATGGGCCGGATCCGGCTGCGGGCCGTAGTTTGACCACGGCTGGTCTTGGGGCGAATACATTCTGTATTCTTGCAGATGACGCATAAATATTTTTGCATCCGTTGTTAGGTTATCAAGAAACTTGGACATTACCTCAAGATGAACATAACAGTGCCAGAGGACTACATCAAAGGCTTTATTCGGGCCAACAACACCTTCCTCTACCAGCTGGTGTTCGATCCCATCAGAAGGAAGCTCGTCCCTCTGAATGACTACGGAGATGACATCGACCCTGCAGCGCTGAGCTATGCTGGGCGGTATCCTTTCTGAACCACGTGGTAGGATTTTTCAGTCCCTCCGTGTGTCCCTGGTGGCATTTTTAGCGAGACATTCAGTGAAAAACTTACAGACTGTTTCTTGCTTTCTTTTCTATAATGAAATCTGTGTTTTGTTCATTTTAATTAGCATGCTGGTGAAAATTTCGAGCTACTTCTTGTTTATAAATCTGAGGCTCATTCGCTATAGCTTGTTAATTACTTAGTTTTTACTTGATAGGAACATATTCCAAAGGTGACACAACTCCTTCCTACAGCATTAGGAATGCTGCCTGATCTGTGAATCCTCCAATGGAGCCAAATAGATATTTTAAAAATCAACAACAAAAACAAAGGGGACACCTAAGAGAAACACCTGTGGCCAGCAAGCTGGATGTATTAGGGGAGGCGTTGTGGGTGTGCGAGGACTCCGATGAGGGTGCCCTTCCCACAGCCACTGGCCACTCACTTGTGGGCAGTGACAAGCCTGAGCCACTCAGATGGCGGCCAGGATTCCTCTCCGTCCTCTCAAGAGGGAGTAAGCGATGCCTCGGGGCTTTGCTGCAGGACACAGCCAGCTCCTGCGTTGACAAGTAGAGATGCGTCAATATGCTGTGGTTTGGGAGTGCCGAGTGTGGAAGTTAGCATCCATTGACGTTATAAACCTGAGGATTTTTTGTGACAATGGAATACACTTTTTTCTTTCTTTCTTTTTTTCCATTCATATTTTTATTGATTTCAGAAAGGAAGGGGGAGAAATGGAGAGAGAAATATCAATGATGAGAGAGAGAATCATTGATTGGCTGCCTCCTGCATACCCCCCACTGGGAATCAAACCCACAACCCAGGCATATGTCGTCACCTCCTGGCTCATAAGTCGACGCTCAACCACTGGGCCACGCTGGCCAGGCCCACTTTTCTTTCTTATTATAGTGGGTTTTGTTCCATTGTTAATAAAAACATTTTTCCTTAATCTTACCAACCTAGGTATATTGATGACTCGATAGCTCTTCAAATAGCACTTGGAAATAAAGATATAAATACTTTTGAACAGATCGATGACTACAATCCAGACACTGCTACGGTAACCTTCTAATGGTTTCTTTCTAAACGCACATCAGTTGTGTCTCAGAACTGTGACTGAGGCAGATCTCCGTTTAGTGAACATCTTTGAAGCGTTTTTATAGCCAGGCACTGTGCAGAGGATAGATCAGAAACAGCTTGGTGCTAAAGAAATTATGTCTCTTAGAACATAGGCATATCGGGTAATTTCCTTCCATTAAAAACCTGTAGACTTGAACATTCTGTTTGAATATACCAGGCGTTTGATGCCTCTTCTCCTCTCACCCTGTTCACCCTGTCATGTTGCTGAAGATCCAAAACTAGAAACACTACCCTTACAGGTACAACTTGGTTTCCCCTGATTCACAATTTAACAAATGTTTAATGAACACCCCGCTGTGTTCTGTGGCCCTTCCCTGTTTTCTTCTACTTTTCCCCAATTCCGTCTATCCCTTATGGTCCGCTCTCCCCCATTCTCTCTTTTCTGTTCATATTTTCACTCAGGCTCTATTCTCTTTTCATTCATATTTATTCCAACCCAATTTCTAGTGTACCAGCCATATAATCTCTACTTACATGACTTCCTGTAACCTGAAATCGATCCACAGTCAAAAACAAACTTCATCTTCATCAGCTTTCTCTAATAACATTTCTCTTTTCTTTTTACCACTTACTGCTATGTAATTTGTGTCCCAGTTATTTTCTGATTCTTCCCAAAACAGTGTAATCTTCATAAAGGCAGGGTTGTTTTTGTTTGTTTGTTTGTTTTTTTAAATATATTTTATTGATTTTTTTACAGAGAGGAAGGGAGAGAGATAGTTAGAAACATCGATCCCCCTACTCTTGATCGAGCCTGAAACCCAGGCATGTGCCCTTGACCAGAATTGAACCTGGGGCCCTCAGTCCGCAGGCCGAAGCTCTATCCACTCAGCCAAACCAGCTAGGGCTATTTCTTAAGATGAGCTAATAAGATCACGTGCCTCTTGTTAGAAGAGGAACCTAAGAGTACAAGGTACATGTAACAGAAAGTGTAGGACATGTCATTAGAGGACAGATAATTCATTAAAAAGCTGCTCTCTTTAAGGATAATTATTTACTTATAATTTGTGTTGCTACAGAGGGAAATGATTGACTATTTTTTTCAAGAAACCTTTTTGCTTTTACTATTTTAGCCTGCCCTGTCGAGAAGTCGTAGCTGGGATGACAGTACATCTCAAAAGCCGTCTGGTGTCCATAGCATTTGGCATAGGAACTACTGCCCTAGACCTGAGCTGGCCCCTGTTCCAGGAGCTACAAGACTGAAGGCGAACCCAAGCACTGCAGGCAGGGAGCAGGTGGTCAGCACCAAAGGGCTGAACCTGCCAAGGAAGCTGTCCATTGTCAAACGGCCGAGAGGCGGTATGTGTTTCGCTTTTGTGAACTGCTCGCTAGCAGTGGTCACGTTTAAGAAATCTATCTTTGCTAAACCCAGGGTCACGAAGCTTTCTCCTGTTTCTTTTAGGAGTTTTATAGTTTTAACTCATATTCAGGCCTATGATCCATTGTTAATTGATTTTCTTATGTGATATGAGTATGAGGTAAGGATCAGGGCTGCGTTTTGTCAGTTTAGTCGCCCCAGGGCCATTTGTTAAAAAGATGATGCTTCCCTACTGAACTGCCTGGGCACAGTTGGTGGTCGTCAGTTGGCGTGTGTGTGAGTCTCTCTGAATGTTAGTGTGAAGCGTTGGTCTCTCCCCCTATCTTTATGCCGGACACACTGTCTTGATCACTGTAACTTTACAGCCAGTTTCAAAATCAAGTAGTATAGTCCCCTTCGTTCTTCTTTTGAAAAGTTGTTTTGGCTAACTTTGTTTTGCACATTTTCATTTAAATCTTAGAATCAACTGTCAGTTTGTTGTTGTTTGTTTAATTTTTTAAATTGATTTCAGAGAGGAAGGGAGAAGGAGAGAGAGATGGAAGCATCAGTGATGAGAAAGAATCATCGATTGGCTGCCTCCTGCAAGCCCCCTACTGTGTATCAAGCCCACAACCTGGGCATGTGCCCTTGACTGGAATCGAACCCAGGACCCTTAGGTCTGCAGGATGATGCTCTATCCACTGAGCCAAACCAGCCAGGGATGTTGTTGTTTTTTTAAGAAGCTTGCTATGATGTTGATTGGGAATTAGTTTAACCTATAGTTCAATTTGGGGAGAATTGATATCTGAATATTGAATTTTCTGATCCATTTATTAATTAAGTCTTCAGCAGTGCTTTATAGTTTTCACTACCCAGGGTTTGTACATCCGTTATAAAATTGAGTCTTATATTTCAGATTTGTCATGCTATTGTAAATGATACTTTAATTTCGATTTCTAGTTGGTCATTCTAGTATATAGAAAGATAATTGGTTTTTGTAATTTGCAACCCTGCTGAATTCACTTTGGTAGACTCTAGGATTTTCCATATAAACAATCATATTACCGATAAGTAAAGACAATCTTGCTTCTCCTTTTCCAATCTGGATGCCTTTTTTTCTTTTTCTTGCCTGTTGGAACCCCAGTAAAGTGTTGAACAGAAGTGCTGAGAATGGAAAACTAGGTATTGGGAAAAGTTTTTGGTTTTTGTTTTTCACCATAGAACATGTTAAGAAGTAGAAAGAATAACTATAATCTATTTCTTCTTTCCCTCAAGTATCTACATGAATGAATAAAAGACTAACCACAAAAACAAAGCAAACACCTTTGCAAACTATAGTTCGTGCTTTTACTTTTTATTATTCTTTTTAAAAATATATTTTTATTGATTTCAGAGAGGAAGGGAGAGGCAGGGAGAGAGAAAAACATCAACGATGAGAGAGAATCATTGATCCACTGCCTCCTAGACTCCCCCTACTGGGGATCGAGCCTGCATCCCAGGCATGTGCCCTTGACTGGAATAGAACCCAGGACCCTTCAGTCTTCAGGCCAAACCAGCAAAGGCTAATTTTTAAATTTAGGTATAGATTATGCAGGTTTGGTCAAAATGTCCAAATTCCTTATGAACCTAAATATTTTTCATGATAATCTCTCTCAAACTGTGTTTCCTCTTCTATTATGGGAATGAAACTGACTATTTCACAAACTTTTGTGTATGTTATGTAAGATACCGTATAAAAGCACCTGGTACATAAGTAACTACTACACGTGTTCATTCCTTACCACGCCTGCTTTGTTAAACTACATCTCATCAATGGATCTTGTCCCCTGGGCGTACACACAGACCCAAAAATAAAACAAAATAGAGTAAGTCGGATCCCTCTTTCCTGTGACAGCCCGTCATAGAGTTAGAGACAGCTCTGTGACCCTCCTGAATTTCTTCCGCATTGTTCCCGGGGGAGCCTCATTGTGTAACTCGCAGTGAGTGGCCGTTAGCATGTGGTTGGGTTACCACAGCACAGTAGAGGTTAGAGTTGTGGCACTGTTTCAGTCCTTTATCCAGACGGGGATTTTGTTTTCGCAGACGAAGATAGTGTGAGCTTTTATTTGCATTCTTGTCATTTTACTGGCATTTACTGAGTTTATCATCAAAATCCACCAGTTCCTATTAAACCAGGTACAGTTACACATTTACACCTAACTGCAGGTGAAATTATTCTTATTGAGGTGTTCTGAATTCATTTTAATCCATTGTCCTGCCCACTAGTCTTTTTTCATTTTTGAATCTCTGTATTATCTAATATATGGGTATTATCTTTGTCGGCTAGAAATTTGAGAAGTATGGCTTCCTGTGTCTTAAAGTTTTGGTTAAAATGTGTTTGCTTATGTAATGTTCACCTGCATCAGAGACAGTGCAGAAATCTAAAGCACTATACAGAGACACCCTCCTTTCAGACTGATCACCGCCAGTAGTCTTTCAGGGCTGACCAGCCTGCTGCTAACCCCACGTAATAATACACAGTAGATTATGGCTGCTGTCTACGGGGATAAGGGGAGAGACGCTGAGTGTCCTCCGGGGGATATGCTAAATCTGTGGACTTGCCTGAGTAGCTCGTCTAAAGCTTCTTCCAAAAGAAAACGAGGTTAGTCTGGCGTGGCTTCTTAAGGAAGCCTTGTTGGGGCTCCTACAATATTTGTTTTCTGTAAGGGCTCATAATTCCCTTCATAATAAACAAATTTAGGCTCATGCCAGGAGTCAAAATCACTGGTGTATAGCTTTTTAAAAATCTGTACCTTTAAAATTGGATTGGAGGTATCATCTTCTTGTCTCTGGTATTTGGGGGGCCTCAACTATTTTACTGACTTTTTCGAGTAATGGGCATTCAGTCCTATGAGAGGAAGCTGTTCAGACCGAGAATTCATTGAACTAATTTAAGACACTTACTGCTATCGCTATGTCTCAGCCTGTCTCGGGCTGCAGCCTTTGTACTGCTTTGTCTTTGATCTATTCTAATACCACAGGATACGTTTGCCGTGCAGCCAATCAGGGCTCCTTAGCAAATTACTTCTGACTCCTGACAATCACCATATCACATAGATATGGTTTTACTGGGACATTTTTAAAATCAAACATTAAATTAATTATGTATCTACATGTAAATCCCCTTAAAATTGGTTTTTTTATTTTTTACATTCAAAATTAAGCCCTTAGTATAAATGAGTATATACCCTTACAAAATTGATTGTGTCCTGAAATGATGGTTTGGGTAATTTCACATAAAATTGTACAAATAATTGACATTAAAGCATACTAATTTGTGAAATTGTAAAACACAGCCAAGAAAAAAAATTTTAAAGTTATCCTTGGATTTTCTTTTCTGGTGCATAGTTTAAAAAAAAAAAAGTCTTTATCCTTAGAACAAAGGGACATGGATTGTGAAGCTAAAGCCAAATCTTTTATTTTTTTTATCTTTAAATTCTTTATTAGTTAAGGAATTACAAATGTGTCCTCATTCCTCCCCCATAAACCCTCATCCTCCCCCGTCGCCCCCACTCAAGCTCTCATCCCCCTGTTTTCCATGTCCATTGGCTAAAGCCAAATCTTTAACTGCATGTGGACAAACATTTATTCATGGTCACTTTGTTTTTATTTAGAGGAGCTGTCAGAAGATGATCTGTTGAGTCAGTATTCTCTTTCATTTACAAAGAAGACCAAGAAAGACGGCTGTGAAGGTAGTACATCCTTGAACTCTTCCAAAATACTGATGCCTGACCTGGTGGATGGAACTACTATTAAAAAAACCTTAAGCACACCACCTACGACAAGAAATAAATTTGCAGCATTTTTGCAGAGAAAAAATCAAGAAAGTGGTGCCGTTGTGGTTCCTGGGACCAGAAGCAGGTACGGTTCCATCTCTAGGATGCTGTTTGTCTGTTGTGTTATCTACTGCGTTGCCATGTGCTTTTAATGGTCTCAGGTAAACGTCGGGTCTAGTTGGAGGTGTGCTGTGATAGAAGCGTGCATAAAATTATTTATGAGGTTTTATTTTAAAGAAACTGGGTCATATTCTGAATCTTAACACCTTGCAAGGAAACTAAAATACTTATGCATTCTTTCCGTTGGTTTTTCTATTAGGTTTTTTTGCAATTCTCTGGATTCTATGGACTGTGTATCAAAGAAAGCAAGCCCCCAACCTCTAGATGAAACTGCTGACACAGATAAAAAGACCAATCTCAATGAATCAGATTGTCTAGATGATAAGAAGGTGGTCGATCTCAATGGATCAGATTGTCTAGATGATAAGAAGGTGGTCGATCTCAATGAATCAGATTGTCTAGATGATAAGAAGGTGGTCGATCTCAATGGATCAGATTGTCTAGATGATAAGAAGGTGGTCGATCTCAATGGATCAGATTGTCTAGAGGGCAAGAAGCTGGTTGATCTCAATGAATCAGATTGTCTGGAGAGCAAGAAGCTGGTTGATCTCAATGAATCAGATTGTCTAGAGGGCAAGAAGCTGATTGATCTAAATCAATCAGATTGTCTGGAGAGCAAGATGCTGGGTGAACTAAGTGAACCAGATTGTCTGGAAAACAAGAAGCTGGTTGATCTAAATGAATCAGATTGTCTGGAGAGCAAGAAGCTGGTTGAGAGGAGTGTCGCACACACTCCGAGTGGTCAGACTCCAGATGGCGCAACGGTGATTGCTGATGAAGAGTCTCCGTCTTTTAAGACCATCGGATTCACAAAGACCATTTCCCCACCCGCTCTGGGGACACTAAGAAGCTGTTTTAGCTGGTCTGGAAGCCTTGGCGATTTTTCAAGAACTCCGAGCACAGCATTGCACCAGTTCCGGAGAAAGGGGGGCTCGCCCAGCTCTCTGCCTGGGAGCACGGTGTCCGATGCGTCTCAGGTCAAGAGCGATGCGTCGGGTGATGAAGCGCCTCCTGTACATGAACTGAGTTGGTCCTCGCAGTCTCAGGAGGTCGCGGAATGGTCCCCACGCAGCTCAAGTGCATCAGCACTTCCTCAGCCTTCCAGGAAGGACTGCAGTCCAGAGGTAAGTCACACGAAACCTGTTTTCAAATCTATATGTAAAACACAGTGGGGTGATTATCCTATAATTGAGAAAAGTCTGCCCACATTATGGGAATAATTGGCTGTCTTAATTTTCACTCTAGGTATTACTGTGTAGACAGTTTACATTTCATTCAACTGAAGAACTTCTCCATGTCTTTGCTGTTTTAAACTCGTATCCATTTAATCTAACTACATTTTTTAATCACTGTGTGTTCCATTGATAGGTGCCTCAAGTTGTGGAGTAGTTAAGACCTACGCAGAATAAGCTATGAAATGAAAAATTGTTATAAATTTAATATTTATTCCTTAATATACTCTTAAATTGAGAGAACATTTAAGGAGATGGCCCTATTAATGTAATGGTGTTCATCTTAAGTTTTAGTACTTCAAAAATACCTTTCAGCCATAACTGGTTTGGCTCAGTGGGTAGAGCGTCGGCCTGCAGACTGAAGGGTCCCAGGTTCGATTCCGGTCAAGGGCATGTACCTTGGTTGCGGTCACATCCCCAGTGGGGGGTGTGCAGGAGGCAGCTGATCGATGTTTCTCTCTCATCGATGTTTCTGGCTCTCTATCTCTCTCCCTTCCTCTCTGTAAAAAATCGGTAAAATATATTTTTTAAAAAATACCTTTCATTTACTCTTATTCTTGCTAAACTCCTCCTTTATAACAAAAGTGATTTTATGTTATTTTGTTTTAAATTAATAAAGCATCCTAGCCATTTTTTAATTTATAAAATACCTTTTAATTTGACGTTAATAAAATCAAAACCCTAAATAAGTGTGTTCATAAGACCCAGTGGCATATTTTAAAGTTACATATTTTAAAGTTTCAAATCTGAGTTATGTCATCATACTTCAAAATCTCAATTTGAGATACCTTAAATAGCGTATCTCAATATAAGACACTTCATTTTTTTATCTACCGACTTTACTTACCACGTTGTGAGAACAGTTATAGCCTCAGTGGTATGTGACAGAATTTCGATGTGTGATGATCCTGATTTTGGGCAGCATCTAACCAATCAGTATAGCTTATATTTAGCAAAAGGAAAATATTTTATTTAAGTTCCTAAAGGAAACGTTGTATTGGACTCAATTAAAGAAAAGAGCTACGTTAAGATGTGGAGACGAGTTGTTTTGACTTGGAGAAGCTGAAACCAGTTAGTACGTTCGGGTCCCCCGTCTGTTCCCTGTGGTTTAAGTTGGAGAGAGCGCCGCCCTAATGCCGGGCTGCCTTTATGGCTTTTCCTTCTTTTCCCTTTGCCGTTGGTTCCCCCAGACGGGTCTGGAAGACTCTGTTTCCTTTAACTTGTGCCTCCATTGCAGTGTCATCTCTTTCATTTTCCAGTTCACACTGCAGTCTTGGCACCATGGGTACAACTACACTTGCTAGCTCTTGAACGTCTCATCTGTTGCCGGTCTCATCTGTTGCCGGCTCCTGTTGCTTAGAGGTTGAGTGTTGACCGGGAGGTCACAGTTAGATTCCCCGTCAGGATGGAGGCTCAGTCCCCAGTAGGGGGCGCGCAGGAGGCAGGAGGTCACAGTTAGATTCCCCGTCAGGATGCAGGCTCAGTCCCCATAGGGGGCGCGCAGGAGGCAGCCGATCCATGATTCTCTCTATTCATTGATGTTTCTATCTCCCTCTCCCTTCCTCTCTGAACTCAGTACAAATATATTTTTAAAACACCATCTATTTGTAAGGACTCCTTTAAGTCTGCTGAGCTCCTCTGGGAGATTTTTTGCCCTTTCCCAGTGGATGTCTGTGTAAACTGACTTTGTAAGCTCTTAGCAATGGTTTACTAAGAAGCCTAATTCCAGCTCACAGCCTGTGGGCCAGTCATGCCCACAGAACTCCCACGCTCGGTCTTCTGGGCTAACCATTTGTTGTACTAGTTCATTACGGAAACCTGAACCCTCCTCCCTCCGCAAAAAGACCAGCTGAACTAGAAGTGATTCTTTTAAGTCATCTTTTGCTTCGGATGTAGATGTAGTAAATTCCTATTAGGATAAATGAATGGTTAACTATTAGGATGAATGAATTGTTAGTGAGAACTGTGTAATCAGTGTTTGATTCAGAAACTTTCAGAGCCACAGTGCATGGGGGCCTCATTCGAATATGGGAGGGAGAGTCCATGTGGCTCACCGGGTCAGCGTGTATGACTCCAGTGGCCCCGTCTGAAGTAATCTTGGGATCTTACTCGTGATCTGTAAGAAACTGATAGCCCAGGGTCGC